CAAACACCATCTTTTCAATCTAAAAATTTAACACATATAGCACCACTGATTCTAAATAAGCTTTAATCCACCCCCTCCAACATACATACCAAATGCCTGGTAGTCTTGAATCAAAAAGCACCTTTATAGCTTCATATAGACTTTTCTCTGCATATGCTCATCCAAGAGGAGAAGTATTAGACATCTCACATGATCCCATGAGACATGTGGGTCATACACAGTTCATTCAGATAAGCAGCTGATCTCCAAGAGCTTTTCCAGTCCAAACCTAAATGCTGAGTATTTTCAGTTTTGCTTGACCAAGGCTTAAAATGTACAGCAGCGTACTCAACCGTAGAGCAGTAGAGATGTTCAGAGTAATACTCAAATCGCTGTGCTAACTAGGTACGATGAGAAACTACTGGAGGGAGGGAGGGAGGGAACATGGTAATGCTAGGTCAGTATCAGATAGATGAAGTCTCTAATCTAATTCATTAACCTGTGCTTGTAATATAAAACCTGAGAGAATAATTTAATGTTTCTCTCACTGGGGAGTGGCCTCTGACTGTCAGGACAGGAAGAACTCCCTCTATATCCTTACAAATGAATGGATATATATGGTCTTTCTTTCTACCTATGAACCGGAGATGAGCTGATTAAAGAGAGGCAGACATAAAGAGTAGGCAAAGTAGATCTTTGCCTCCTATACAGAAACACTATGCTAACTGCTGTGGCACTGAGACATTGACAGTAAAAGATGGAAAAAACCAGGAAGGAAAAGCAAAAGCAATAAATACATTTAAAAGATAACAGATTTGTAACACAACTGTTTCATCATCAAACAGTACTGTGGGTTCAGATGTGTTGTATGTCAACAGAACATACAAATGGTTGTGGTAAACTTAGGACCAGTACAAATTACACTAGCAAAAAATACTTCTCAAGCTCTTTGTGCCTAACAGGACAACCCTGCAGCATCAAGGACAACTATGTGAAGAAGACGGATTCTCTGTACCCTCTCCCTTTCAGACTGCTACTTCCCTGGCTACAACTTGCATGGAACAGTAGAGCTTCAACAAGTTTGGGTAACGTTTATGTGAAACACTCAAGGAAGTGGCCTCAATGAAAGAGAAACAGCAATGGAGTCAGCTTTCTTGGTGTGAGATCACTGGGCAGATAAGACAATGCTAGATCCAGATATGCTTGAGATGGCGGGTAACATCTGAAGTATTTAAATGAACCTAAAGACCCATTCTCAGAAGTGACCAAATCTAGCACCCAAGAGCAGAGAAGTCCTAATCTTACAGAAAATCAATGGGGCATAGATTCCTGTTCTACTTAGAAACCAGGAAATCGTATACAATGTGAAACCCTGGTACATAAACACTGCAAGCATATATGCTTTTTATTTGTTTCCTATATTTGGATAGGAAGCTGTTTTGTTTCTGTGCAGTGCAATCTGTTAGATCAATACTAGACCTTAACTGCAAAGCACTCAGTGCCCTTTCTCTTACTCCATCTTGGGCTGAGCATTGCCTCACATCACCACACTTCCAAAATGTGATGTCATATGAGCATTCCTCACACTCCCAGAGAATAGCATCTTTAAGAGATTTGCATAAAAATAATTCCCTTTGAGTTTATTCATGTTCCAGAGGCTTAGTCCTGCAGGAAACTGTCCTTTTTCCTTTACTGCTGTAGAGGGTACAGCCTGTCCCTGCTGAGCACATTTGGATTTGTAGGTGGGTGGGGCATGGCCTTGCTACCTTTTAGATGTATTGTTCTCCAGGGGACACATTGACAAGCACATGCATGCTCTGGGGACTATGATAATTTCTGCATGTCACAGGAGGTCAAAGAATAGTAGAAAAACTCCTCATAACTCTTGAAAAAGATCTCAAGATATCACTCATTCTCTTTCTGGCCAAGAAAAATATGTTGGGCCACATTCCTAGCAGCTGCTCCTCTAAAATCAAATCAGGGCTTACAGTGATCTAATGGTTACCTAGGCCTTGTGCTGTCTCTCTGCATGAGCGAGATTTCAGCAGCCGAAGACAGTAATACCGACTGAAGATCTTTCAAATACTAGAAGCAGTTCAGCACAGGTTTCATCTTCCTGAGGATTAATCTCAATTTCTTCCTCTAAAGGCTCATGGCATCACAGCCAACATCCCCTGCCTCTTGCTCAAATACCTCACACACGCAGATACAATTAGAGTAACCTCTTTGTTTAAACTCTGAGGTCTCAGGGGTAGAGACTGACATTTTATGATCTGTATGTGAAGAGTCTACTATGAAACAGGGCCCTGGTCTGGAACCTCTGGGCAATGCTGCCAGACAAGCACTAATTACAGAGGTGTCATCTTCTTATCTGAGCAAATGACTGTAACGCCTTCATTTTCCTTCTGGCTCTTCTAACTACCTTTGTTGCCTTGACTTAGCTTTACGTCCTCCTCCTGTAAACATAGATTTTATTCCTCATTTGCTTATCTTATAACTCTCAGGAGTTATATTTGCATGTAGTTAATGGTCATTAAATACTTTCAGTGAAAAAGCAAAGTGGGAAGAGAGGGAAGGAGAGTGCTTGCTCCTCCTGTACTCCACCTTTACTCAGTAATTTTCCTGTTACAAAAACTGAGTTCCTCAAAGAGAAGCACTAGACCTAATAAACAAAGCAGCAGATTAAATATATACATACATGTATGTCCCTTTTTGGTCCCTCTTTACAGGTAGGCAAACTAAGACAAGGTAATGAGCCACAAGTTCTGACTCCGCAACTACTGCTCTAAACACAGTCAAGGATTTTAAGCTTACTTGACTTCCTTTTCAAGGTTTCAAATGTGTTCACAAAGATACAATTATAATGAAAAACGAATTATTACATAGCTCTTCAATCATACTACAAGACCCTTTTACTAACTGCATAAACAAAGTTTAATTCTCAGAATTCAATATCAAAAGCTAACGTTAAATATACAGAAATGTAAATATTTGAATAGATAATAACCCATCTTAAGAATTATGTCATTTGCTTTGTTCTTGACACCCCCCCCCCCCACCATTTCTGTAGTCACAAGACTTTCAGCCCCTCCCCCCCCCCCCCTCCCCCCATTTCTGTAGTCACAAGACTTTCAGCCCCTTCTTATTGCCACACCACCTGCCTACCATTAAAGGCATTAACTTCTTCTTCTGGGGGGGATGGGAGGGGTGAAATGAGAAGAAAGTGCTAGATGTTCACAGTAATGGTTCCTTTGGTATTTTAATTTTTATTGGCTATTTAAAGCTTTGGATTATGACTTTCTTTTCCCGAGGAATAAAATGTCACATCAGCAAACACAGAGAGATTGATGCAATTAGTATGAAGATACTTTAAACATCCAAAAGAGAAACAGTTTCACTGTTGAACGGAGTGGAGCGTGCTTTGTGATTTAACACAGTTATTCAGGTAATTGATGGCAGTAGAAAAATTTCTATTTTAATAGTAATAAATTTACAGCTCTATGTAAAAGCAATTTAATGTAAAAGTTCATGTTCACCTTTCCAGATCTTCTGAATATAAAATGGCCACGTGAGAAGTACATCAAAGTTTTTCTGTTTCCAGACGCATTAGCAAAATACGCTGTTTAATCAGCAACCCACAGTATTAATAATTCTAAAATAGTATCCTATTTTTTAAACCTTGACTGTTACAGTCTTTCTGATTTATATTCCATATAATATGCTCTGATTTATATTCCATATAATATGCTAAGTTCCCAACAAATACAATCCCCCCAGAATAACTTTCAGTGTATCGAATGGGAAAACCGAAAGCCAAACCTGGAGAAAAATCAGGACATTTTTACATTATTTTTTAGGGTCCAATTATACTCCCTCTGGGAAAGACTTTCCCTTATGTACCCTTAAATATGAACTAAATTTCAGTGGTGAGCACCAGTCAAAGCAGGGAAGAGATTACAAGTGATTTTTTAGTTTCTCGCTCAGCCAAAATTTCACTGATCTGTTTCTGTTCAGTCTTAGTCAGATGGGTTTGGCCACTGTAAATTCCATAGGGTGCAAGCAAATTTACTCCACTCCAAGCACATTTACTCTTAAAAAATCTAGTACCATCCTAGCACTTAAAATGATCATATAACTCTTTTTCTTCTTTTTACAGCTGGTGTGCATGGCATGTGGAAGCATGCACAACATGGGGGGCAAAGTCCCCATAAAGAAACTTCGCAGGAGCCAACCCTGGGACCACAGCTGTCACCCTGAACATTTTTTCTAGGCAAAAAAAAAACCATTGGCCGTCAAGTCCCCCCCAGACTAAGGGCTAACCAAAAAGAGCATCCCCCCTGCCCACGCTGGAAGATCGATGCTCTCCCACCTCCCAGGCTTATAGCCAGCGGACGAGTTAAGGGACGGGGCTGATCCTAAGGGGTTGCAGGCTGCGGCTCTCCCTCCCAGGGAAACGGGGGAAAGGCGGACGGCGCGGGGCCCG